AAAAAAAAAAAAAAAGAATTCACTTTTGAAATTCTATAGACTCCCTGCTCTGTTTTTAAAAAAATATTTTTCTTAAATTATGCTATGCTAATTAGCTCTGTCATTTTCAGACAGTAATCTGTTATCGGGTGTTATTTTCCTCATTTAGATGCCACTACTAAATCCTAATTTAGACTCATTCCTTTTAATAACATCGACAGAATGCTATACCTTCTATGTGCTCCACCACCATTCATAGCTATAAAATCTGAGAGTCTAGAATGTGTTATATGTGTTCCATTATATGGATAGGACCCCTCTCAGAAAATTCTACTTTAGTTCTTAATTTTTAAGCAATACCTTGCATATGCACTTGGCATGCTTACTTTGATGCCTATTCTGTGTCCTTTGATAAACTCCTTTTTTTAAACGTCAACTTCACCTAAGGTCCTACTTTTTCAAATAACCCCTTTGCAGAGAAGGAATGGTTGTAAATTGCTTTCTAAATGCGTTGCCAGCAGTCTCTAATGAGTATTTCCTCTCTTTTCTTTGCACCCAGGTGGCTAATAGCTGTGTCCTAGCCTGGAAGCATTCAATTTTACTAAGCGCCTACTATGTGTCAAACTACCAAGCTAGTTGCCAAGAATATGAAGATAAAAGACCCTCCACACTCTTGGAAAACTGTAACACACACACGGGGGCGGGGAGAGACACAGTTGAGTCTGTGGGGGTAGAACAATTACATTGACAATCACAAAACTCAATGGTTCATGCCAGAAACCTCCCCTGGTGAAGAGAAAGGTGTCACACACATCCCTGCCCACTCTTGTTTCCTTAGTAATGCAAAGATCTATGACAACTTTGCCTACAGTCACTGAAAGTTGAAAGTTACCAAGAGATGAAAATTTGCAATTGCAAATCTGACAATAGGACTTTCTCTTCAACAACTCATCTTTTCGCTTCTCTCCCCAGATATGCAAGACAATGCTCAGGAAAGCTCACTGCCAGAACTATAGGAACACACGGAAGTAAGCAGCCGTACTGCTGGTAAACACATCTGGGCTTTCCGCACCCCGTCCCCCAGCCTGCCTGACGAAGCGCTCGCCCTCCCCCTCCCGCACCTGTCGGCCCCCAGCTGAGCTGCGGAAAGTGACCCGCGTCTCCATGGCGACGCGTCACAAAGCAGCCACGCGCAGCCCACAGCACCCAGTCCAGCAGAAGCAGAGGGCACCGTCACGGCCTCTTTTGAGCAGAATGGCACGGACTGGGCCCGAGGCCGCGTGCCCCTCTCAAAGCGGCCACAAGATTCAGCCAAGTAAGGCTGCGGACCCTGCCAGCGGGGGGGGGGGAAGAGGGGGCAGCGGAAGGGGGGCAGGCTTTTTCCTGGGAATGGGGTACCCTAGAGCAAAGGCTGCTTCTGTCTGCAAGGCTGTTTGCCTCCCTCTTATGGGTGGGACTCAATCCATGGAGAGTCTGGGAGTCAGACCTCTACAGCCCTTCGCCATGTTTCTGCAGATCCTCTCCCTAAACCGCTCAAGTGTTTTTAAACACCCCCCACGAAATGCCTAGGAGGGTTCAGGAGAAGGGAGAGAACAGTGCCTTTCCAGGAGAACAAGGTCAAAGACAAAGAAGGTACCGAAGTCGGAGGCTCTGAAGACAGCAGACCCAGCAGAGACCGATCCCCACGCAGGATCTAGGGAAGAGCACAGAAGGCTGGGAGGTGCAGAATGCAGGACCCCTAAGTGGATCTGCAGAGGCAGCCTCCCCCCACGTGGCTGTAGCAGAGGCTGGGAACTTGGCATTCAGTTGCCACTTCTACCTAACCTTTGCTGATTTCTCTTTCAATGAGATTTTGCATTTAACAGAGGTAGAGCTTTTGATGCTAATTTTGTATGCAAATGCAGCAGGTTTACAAAGTCAGCTTTTTGTGTCAGCGGAGGGAGAGCATTCTAGCTGTGATGCTAGTGGCGTGATTACTGTGTAGTCAGCTCCATCCTGGCCTTTCTCATGGCAATAATAACCCACCGCAGCCCTCTAGCTGGGTAATTGTGGTTCCATGGTGGCTACAGAGCTGTGGGAACCGTTCAGCTGCAAATACCCTAGAATTGTAGACCTGCCAGAAAGAACGAAATGCATATTTTCATTCCATTCATCCCTTTGTAAAATTAAGGATAGAAAATGAAAATACTTAATTTGTACAAAATATATTGAAAACACTCTGTTTCTATATGATAACAAGGCAAAAAAAAAAAAAGAGGCGGGGAGAGAACCTCCTTCCCAGGATTCCCCCACTACATTCCTTTTTAATCTCCTCCTCTCTTTTCAGCCACCTGTGTTGGTTTCTTTCACTGCCTCCTCTCCCCCTTCTTGTCGGGGGGAATGTGAGAGTCCTCCAAGATCTATCCTTCTTGGTTCTCTGTGTGGTGGCCATGTCCTACCAAGGACTTCAAGTCTACTGAAATGTGCCGGTGGCTTTCTAATCTTCTCTCTCACTCACTCCTAATTTTCAAACCAAAGTATTCCACTGCCTACCAAATAGTTCCATTTGGATGTCATAGAAGGGCCTCGAACTTCTATGTACAAAATTACACTCCTTGTCCTCCCAGACTTTGCAGGCTCAGTTAGGAGGGTGCTTTGCTGACACCTCACTTTGATCAGCAAGGCTCATTGGTTCTGCCCCCAAAGTTTCCCTTCCTGTGGGTGAGTTTGACTGTTCGTGCCCAATCTTGGGGCTCTCTCTGCCACTCTATCTTCCACTGCTAGAAGTGTCATGTTCCAAAAGGTGGGACTGAGGTGTCACTGGCTAGCTTTGATCCGAAAATAAGATGAGGTTGACATTGACTACCATGGGCTACTTGCTATTGAACTATTACCAGATATGGGCTTGTAATTGCTGTATCAGTTTGAAGGACTGCCATTAATAACCATGAACTGGTGGCTTGGAACAAAGGAAATTTATCATCTCACATTCTGGAGACCAGAAGCCCACAATCACGGTGTTGGCATGGGGCCGAATTCTTTCTTGCCTCTTGCAGCTTCTGGGGGCTGACAACCTTTTTGTGGGCTCCTCACTTCAGTCTGCCCCTCTAGGGTCACATCGCGTACTCTTCTGTGTGACATCTCCCTCTGCTTCTCATGAGGGCGATGAAATGGCATTTGGGGCCCACCGATAATCCAGCATGATCTCCTCATCTCATCATCCTTAACTGCATCTGCAAAGGCCCTTTCTCCTTACTTGGTACCGTTCGCAGGTTCTGTGGTTTGGATGTGGATGTATCTTTTGGGTCCCCGTTCAGCCTACTCTAAATGCTTGACTCTACCGTCCCCTTTAATCCTCCCAACAGCAAGGCAAACTTAGAATTATCAGGTACTGTTCATACCTGCCCATCTGTTGGGCTATTGTGGAGGAGAAAACAAGATTCCGTATGTGGAAATGCTCTGTAAAGTGTAATATAATATGCAACTGCTAATTACTTTTTTATAATATTTTCAAAACCTCATCATAAATTTTCATAATAGTGAATACCTTCAGGGGTGATAAAGCACCAGGGTAGAGCAGGGCAAACCAGGCCTTGCTGACCTGTCACTGGCCACTTCTTCCCCTGCCTCGCTCACATTGGGCCACTTGCCGGGTCTCAGACTTTCATACCTCATGCTCCTTCCTCTGAAAAATGCTTCACTCCGCGTCCTCCTGTGGTCCCTGTCCAAGTCCCACTTTAAGTCCTGGCTCAGATGCTACCTATTCTATGAAGTACCTCCTGGACCCACCCTCGATGCCCCTTCTCTCATCCACCCAGAAAGAATTTCACCTTCTTTGGGAGCTCCCATGGCACACGGCCCAGCTGTGCATCTATAAGCTTGTGCTCACTGGAGATTTGCTGTCTCCTCTACTCACCTAGGAGTTCCCCAAGGGCAGGACAGGATCTCTATGTACTAGGGCCCAGCAGGAGGCTTGGTCCACAGGAGGGGCTCAGGACTTGACTGTAGAATGAACAAAAATGAGAGAAGGTAGAAACAGAAAGACAGAATCCTGAGAGAGGTGGACACAGATTACAGGGAAAAACACTGAGATACTTACCAAGAGTGAATGCAAAAACAGGCGGTAGCACATTCCGGAAACAGGTGTTTAGAATCTTAAGATCATAGATTTTTAAGTTACTATTTCTATTAATGAAGAGGATTAATTCTAATCACATTGTATTTTCAGAAGCTGTGTCAATGGAAATAGGAAGCACAGACACAGACCTGATGTAAAGACTTCTAGTAAGAAAAGTCATTAAACAAAAAATTGTAGAAAGATGTAATGGAAATTGCGCATCTCGTCATTTTAGTCATCCAAGTGGGTTAGAATTAGGGTGAGGGAGGTCCATTTGGTCTCAGGTCCTAGAGGCAGCTGGGCATGGCCTCTCCTGCACCTGATACCTTCTGGAATAGGATCTTAGCAAAGGAGGCTGCCAGCCCCCAGCCTGTCCTCAGGAAGGGGAAAGGCCAGAGACAGGGATACCCAGAGGTGTATCTGGCTTGCCCGTGTGATTGACGCGGAGATGTTGCCTGGATGCTGTGTTGCCAGGGTTTTTGAGGCATATGAGGGCCTAGAAGGAAATTGGTCTGGTCTGGGTTAGTATTGTCTGCTTTAGGAAAAAGAGGGTGAAATGTTGTGTAGTCTCTGTGCGGAGGATCTTTCCTGAGCCTTGCAAGAGTCACACTCCGAGGTTCATATCAGGTTAAGCGAAGGTTTCTTTTAAGAGCAACTCTGCCTCCCAATTTCTTCCCACTTACTTGTCCATACTTGGAATTCTCTGAACAAGGAACATTTATTCTGCCGTTGGAACAAAATGCTTGAAAGCACGAAATGACTCCCACAAACCAGCAGCGTCAGAGAAGAACGTCATTTCTCGTCAAGTGGGACCTGGGTGGGGACATCCAGAGTGTGTGTGAGCAGAGGCACAGGGTGGAACAGGCAGGGGCTAGACTTTTGTTAGACTGGGGAAGCTGGTGGAGGTGAATCCCAACCAGAGAGAAGGCGATGAGGAAACGGTCACGGAGGAGAAAGTCCAGCTGCCCGGCTGCACCCAAGGGCCTGTTAAATCAGAAAAAAGAACTGGCTGGGGGATGGGGAGATGACACAGGAAGAAGTACACAGACAGCAAAAACTAAATGTTTGGTCAGGGCCCTATATGCTAGACAGTGCATATAGATTTTAGGACTATTTGGAAACAAGATGTATTCGAGAAGAATACTGTATAACAATTATATTTAGGATGTGTGAGTGGGAACATCACAGGCCATGAGGTGGCTACGGGGGTCTAGCAGTGAGGCGCTCGACCCCACACAGCAGGGTATTCAGACATTAAAGGGGACCGTTTCAACCCAGGTTCCAATGAAATGTAAACAGGTGAATTGCCCAGGTAGGAAGAATGAGAGAATGACTGAGTTAAATTTAAAATCTTTACTCCCAAGAAGTGTGGTGGTACTTTGTGGACAATGAGAGGTTAGGGCAGAAAAATTCTGTTGTTGTGAGCTCATGCCCCACGGTTAATTCTCTGTCTTCGTCCTCCTGGATCCAGCCAGCAGCATTTCCCATAGACGATCCCTCCTCCTCCCTCCTGGAAACCCCTCCTTCCTGTGGCCTTCGGGACACCACATGCCCTGGTATTCCTCTGCCCTTATGGACTGCTCTTCTCCACCTCCTCCTCTGATTCCTTCAGCCTTTGGACTGGTCTCCTCCATCTATCTTCCCTCTCTTGTTGGTCCCACCCACGCTCACCGCTTTTATTCTCATCTGTGCTGCGGAATCCTGCTCAGTCCCAACAAAGAACACATTAGAGCTGCTCCGGATGAGTTGGAGGGCTATTCCTATGGGAATAGGACACTGTTCAGGGACAGAGAGAAGAAAAGGACACTTTGTGAATTATGAGCCCACTTTTGTGAAACGAGATGGTGAAAACTAAAACCCAATGTCAAAATAGTTATATATGTATATGTAAATCTCTAGATAATTCTATCAGCAGATGTAAAGCATGGAAAGAAACCAGCACAGTTGTTCACATGGGGTGGGAGGAGGGCTGAGGAGGAGGGTGATAAGGAGCAGAGGAAGGAAGGAGAGAGGAGAAGGTGCCCAGGATAAAACGGGACATGTAAACTTTGTGTAAAATCATGTCGTGTGTGTATAGGTTTATCTACTACGGTGTATGAGAAGTTGGTCACTAAAGTCAAAGCGGGCATCTTAAAGTGATGGCACCTCAAACAAACTTTCTGTTTTATATTTTTCATGTGTTGCTTGAACTCTTCAAAATAGCATGTACGAGTTCTCACGAAAAACAATGGACTTATTTCTATTTAGGGAGGAACTCAGTTCATTCAATTGAGCTTTCCTCTTTCCTATAAGAGGCCGCAAGTTGGACTTTGTTCCTTTAGACTTTAAATCACTATCCAAAAAAATTTTTTCTCTTGCAAGATTATTTTAATTATTAAAACAGCATACGACGGAAATATTCTGGTTTGCCACATTTCAAACTGTTTTGTTGTACTTTTGACAGGTGATACCACCTGGGATTCCTATGCCACCACCATGAGGACTGCTTACACGCCCAAGACTGGAGCTGTGCCTGCTTTAATTCGGTAGATCCTGATTTGTGTCAGGTTGACGTACATACCTTAAACTGTTCACCTGTATTCTATTATTCAGAATCCAAAACCAAGTGAAAGAGTAATCAGAGAAGGCTTATAAAAATGTACGCATGGAGAACCTATTGCATGCACGGTGCTCCTCCAAGCACCAGATAGCCTTCCCCCCTTTAGACAGTATCCAGACCTCTTACAGGAGAACTAAGAAAAGGAACATATGAATCCTTCATAAAGGACCCTTCACTGCGGGTCCTGCTTTACAACAGAGCCGGTGTATAGGTTAACAGAATTGTGCTACCTGAACACAGAGTATGAATCGAATCCATTACCTGGTACATAGTAGGCAGGCAATGACAATTGAATGAATGGCTGAATGCAGAATTGTTAGCACTTCCATCACCAACATTGGTCTTCGAAGCTGGATGGCCATAACACACTCACCCTTACCTTCACAGCGCCGCTTACTGCTTCCTCAAATGGCTTGCAACTTCTCCATTTCCACCTGAATTGTGAATGGTGGGAATGTCTGTCCATCACCTGCTTCTTTAAGCTCATTGGTGGGTGAGTGAGAGTGGGATCAGGAAAGCCCTGTCATCATTCATTGCATCCGTGGTGGGTGGGAAACCAACATGGAGAGCCTTCACCGGCCTGTGTGAATTGTTTCCAAAAAAGAGGACCTTTTCACCCCCAAAGTTCAAGTTGTTGAGAAGTCACATGGAGTATGGGCAAGACCATGGCTGAAGAGTCAGGCAGAAATGGGTTTTAACCTCTGCTCCCTGCTCTGACCCTTATTAGTTCTGCTACCTTTGGCAGGGAACAAGCCATCTATGGCTCAGTTTTACGGTTGGCGAAGTGGGCATGATGATCCCTGCCGCAGGTGGTTGTTCAGGGGATGGAATGAAAGCACTAGAACAGTGACTAGCACCAAGAAGTTATTCGAAATTTTTCATTAATTTTTTCCCCAGCATAATACCTGATAGACTTTCAAACACTACAGGTTGCAAGACTCTTGATATCTGAGTTGCTGTCTATCCCACTGAGTTACATTATGTCCCCTAACTGGGAGATTTATCATCTGATGGCAATGATCATGCCAGCTTCCCAGTCAGTAACAGTTGTCTCAAGAAGAAATATTTGGGATGAAAGCCAAAAGCAAGTGGGTACTAATGGAGTCTAGGTCAGTGGTCTTCAAATTCACATATTTTTTAAGTTCACAGAAAAGTTTTCATTGTAAATTAAAATAATTGTGAAAGATAAAGTGCATAGCCCATCCTAAACATTGACATTTTAAAATAAAACTATTAAGTCACTTAAAAAAATACAGCCAATGGGTAACCTAAACACCTTAACAAATAGATACTTGCTTTGATCTTTAAAAAAAATACACAAACTCTTCTTTAATAGACCATTTATTTCATTCCTTTTGCTTCTTGAACTCTTATTCCACTCCACTTCCTCCATAGAATCTTACCCTGCTGTAATGTATTTTGTGTTTGAAGGCCATTTATTGATCACTCCATTATACTTTGTTGAAACTATTTTAGTATATTAATTGAAATTAATTTTTAAACATGTTATGTGACCCTAAGTATTGAGTTATCACAATTATTTTTAGTACACAATTGCTCAAAGCAATAAATACATTACAAATGTTAATAATTAATTAACACAAAAAGTAAATTCTTTGGAATTGTAACTTAATGAGATAAATGTGACTGTTCTGTTTGCAATTAATTTATGTATTCAGTTTTAAGTGTTATTATTTTTGGAACGGGACTGCAATTAGCATCAATTTTTTTTCTGTTTCTCATGTTTATTTTTCAATTTATAGACGCTAATGTTAAGCAAACTTGTTCACATAAATAAGTAGATGTGAATGAAAGGAGTTAAGTGTGGCGTTGTCATTCAAGACTTTGAACTCTTCCTGAGTTATACACCAAAAATTACAAGGTGATTTTTATGATTGAGCAGCTGACAACTTGGCTGGGTTAGTCTTTTGATTTTATTGAAAGGAAATAATTAGATGATATGTCATCCAGTTATTGAGTTATTCCCTAACTCCTTTTCGGAAGAGTATACTGAAAAGCTACATCTTAACAAATGACTATTAAATTACATCAGTTGCTCTTTCACTTGGAAGAAACTTGTTTGATTTTTTTTTCCAGTTTTATTGAGGAATAATTGACATGCATCACTGTATAAGTTGAAGACATACGGCATGATGGTTTGATTTACATACCTTGTGAAATGATTGCCACAATAGATTCAGCTAACATCCATCTTCTCTCATAGATACAGATCAAACATTTACTATACATTTAATGAGAGAGAAAGTTCTACATGCTGAAAATTAATTGGTCTGGCAAGCCGGCGTATACTGCCATGTGTCGCTACATATTTTACAATATAGATAAAATGAGGACTGGCTGCATTGGATTAAATATTTCATAACATGTTTGGGTTAAAAAAATAAGACTTAAGTACCTGATTGACGAATACAAAATCCGAAGGAAAAAAATAACAAAATTTTTATGTACCAGTTTTACCCAGTGAATCTTTCAAATCTGCTAGTCTCAGAAAAGATTGCGGTTCTATTCAAAAGAATCAGCATTGCTGCCCTGTACCTGTTCAGAGATGCTTTTCTTTCTAGCTAATGACATGTCTTAGGGATTTTTTTTTTTAAGCTGAAAAAAATGTTTAAATATGTGGCGGAAAGAGTCATTTGAAGCACTCTATATTCTCTGCTCTCTTCTCAGAGGCTTCCCCCCACCAAAGGGGCTGAACATTCTGTAATTGTTAGGAAATGAAAAACTACACATTACTCTTAGCCATAGCACTCTACAATGTACTTAAATTCAGGACATCCCCCCACAGACCACATGTCCTGGTTAGAGCAATGCACTCCCTCCGCCATCCCCCTTCCCTACGCCCTCCCCACTCTCTCAGACCTGCAAAGGCAAGTCCAAGGTAAGGGTATGGAATTTGGATTATAAGCTATCTGTGCTGTGTTGCCTTTGGAAAATCTTCATGTGCCTTTGATCACTTCAGTTTTATTCAGGACCACAGTCCTACCTGAGCCTACACATCTGAATGACAAGTAAAATAGTCCATCATCCAGATGTATCCCACTTTCCAGATGTTTGATTTCTTATAGACAGTACCTAGGCTGTCTTTAAAGAAACTCAGGCTTCTTTAAAGAAAAAGCCAATATGAAATATTTTAGACGTACACAAAAGAATATACAATGAATCCCTAGCCATTATCCAAATACAATAATCAACACAAGGACACTTTTTATGTATACCTTCTACCCAGCCTTCCCGCTGGATAATGCTGAAGCAAATTCCAGGCATTTTATCGTTTTAATTCCAAATATTATTTTTATGTATCTCTAAAAGATAAGGACTCCTTAAAAATATGCAATACCATTGTCTCAGCTCAAAAAGAAATAATTCCTTAGTATCAAATGGCCAATCAGCAATCAAATTTTCCCCTAATGTCTCAAAATTAAAAAAAAAACAACAACCAGTCTGTTAGAAATTAAATCCAAATATGTTCTGCACATTGCTCTTGGTTATTGTTTTTTAACCTCATTTAATCTATAAGTTCCCCTTCTTTTTCTTTTCTGAGAATTTCTTTGTTGAAGAAACAGATTGTTGTTCTGGACTTTTCTGATTTCAGCCCCATTGTGTTGTTTAAAATATTCCTCTTTTCATGTATTTCCTGTAATCTACTATTTCAAAGTCTTCATCTGGTTCAAGCTGGGTGTTTTGACAAAAATATTTAATAGATGTTGTGTATGTCTATCCAGGGCATGTGATAGCTGATGAAACCTCTTCTTGAACTGTGAGTAGGAACTGGTGATCATTGCCTGGATGCATGGTTTCATTAGGGCCTTGAAAACAAGTGATATCCCAGTTCTTCTGTATCTTCCTTTTATTAACTGGAACACTTCCATAGAGAAACATTTCTTCACCAGGTATTTGGTTATGTTGAAGTACCGTGTAGAGAGGAGAGTACCAGCTCTTTAAAAAAATTAATTAAAAAAATTATTGAATTTCAGATGGTTGTTCTTTTAAATTCCATTTTAGGCTTCCCATACTTTTGTGAAGAGCCATCCTAAGATACAGGATTGTTTCTTTTCAAGGGAATCTGGAAATTAAATTATTTCTGGCACCAAGTCTTGAACCAGCCAATCTTTAAAAAAAAATGTAATAAGCAAAATTATTTGACATGTGTCCTGCTGTGAGATTTGGTATTTAATCCCTTATTCTGATTTCCACTATCTTTTCTCATAGCCAAAAAAGTATCAGAAGACTAGGATATACATATTCACTTAGTGACCCTATTCCCAACCAGACACAGTACAATGATGAGTATGTTTGGAAAACATATTCGAAAGAAGATTTAATAAAAAACGGGACTTCAAGAGGAATCAGGAGACACAAATCTCACCCCAGTCAAGTAAGATAATATCTACATATCTATTGAATTTAATACTGTACCAGTAATCCATAAGAATGAGAGTTTGAGTATATCCCAAAAAATCCTTCATCTGTAGTTATGGTCCTTCTTATACTATGTTTTGTCTACTTTCTCACATTTATTTCTAACCACTTCCCCTTATCCTCCAAATTTTTAAAAAGATTTTAAAAAATTGAAATGAAATTCACAGGGCATAACATTAGCCATTTTTAAAAAAGATTTTATTTATTTATTTGACAGAGAGAGACACAGTGAGAGAGGGAACACGGGAAGGGAGAGTGGGAGAGGGAGAAGCAGGCTCCCCATTGAGCAGGAAGCCCGATGCAGGGCTCGATCCCAGGACCCTGGGATCATGACCTGAGCCAAAGGATGCTTAACGACTGAGCCACCCAGCCGCCCCAACATTAACCATTTTAACATGAAGAATTCATTGACAATTAGTACATTCATAATGTTCTGGAACTACCACCTTTATCTCATTCCAAAACATTTCCATCTACCAAAAGGATACCCCACATCCATTAAGAAATTACTTCCTGGGGCGCCTGAGTGGCTCGGTCGTTGGGCGTCTCCCTTCGGCTCAGGTCATGGTCCCTGGGTCCTGGGATCAAGCCCCACATCGGGCTCCCTGCTCAGTGGAAAGCCTGGTTCTCCCTCTCCCACTCCCCCTGCTTGTGTTCCCTCTCTCGCTGTCTCTCTCTTTGTCAAATGAATAAAAAAAAAATCTTAAAAAAAAAAAAGAAATTACTTCCTGCTTCCCTCTTCCCTAGACTCTGGCAATTACCAATCTGCTCTCTGTCTGTGTGGGTGACCTATGTGGATGTCTATGTGGATATTTTTTATGGGGAATCATACAATATTGACCTTTCGTGTCTGGTTTCTTCACTTAGTATAATGCTTTCAATGTTCATCCACACTGTAGTTTCTATCAGTACTTCATTCTTTTTATGGTTCCCGTTTAGGGTTGAATAATATTCTGTTGTATGTGTATACCACAGTTTGTTCATTCGTTTATTCATTGGTGGACATCGGAGTTGTTTCCACCTTTTGGCTATTGTCAGCAATGCTGGCACTCACAAGTATTTATGTTTGGCAGTATGCATTCTCAAACTCCCATATCTTTTGTCATTTTGTTTACTTTATCTAGAATCCCTCTCCTGTCCACCAAGGAAATTTATACATTCTTTAAGACGCAGCTTAAAGAGAGCTATCTCTAATTCCCTTCTCCTCTAGATGGAAGTAACTGATACTCCCTTTGTGTCCTTGGCACTGTATAGCCTTCTCCCACCATAAGCAATGCTCCATTGTAGTAAAGGATTTCATTTACTTGGCTTTTTCCTGGCATGGTGCCACGTGGGGTGGAGCCACCTGGATGCATTCAATAGATAATAAGGTGGTAGAATAGGCAGGAATTGGCTACTGAAAAGATATAAAGGACAAGGAAGAAGAATGAAGGATGAGGTTTCCGTTTTTGACTTGGACATCTGGGCGTATGCCGCTGCTGTTTCCTTAGCTGGAACGTGAGAAGGACCAGGTTTGGTGGGAAAGGGCATGGGGGAAATGTGAATTCAGTTGAAGACATATTGGTTGTAAATATGTCCAACAAGCAGTTGCATATACAGGTCTAGAGTTTGTGTGGAAGAGGAGAGCTGTAGATGTAGACTTGGGAATCATTAGAACATAAATATGCCATTTAACTTGGTTCCTCATGGCACCCATTTATTTTAATGAATTTACCCCTTAAATATTTGCCTTAAGATTTTAAATTAATGAAAAGCAGTTAGTTACAATATTATACTGTGTTTGTATACGTACACACACACATATATACACAAAGCATTTATTTTCCCTTTAGGTGTCTTGAAGGTTCCCAGCCAATGAGAGCTAGAGTGGGAGGGTGTCCTGTGCATTCTCAGCCGATGAGCGGTAATGAGGCAGACTGCCCTCTGTGCTTTCAACCAATGAGGGTTCCACACCAGGCTAAAGTCGCTCCAGCACGTGAATGCTCTTCCCCTTGACCTGAGTTGAGGGTGTGCTGCATTGTTTACTCTGCTGAACCTTCTTGCTCTGCCATTTATTGTTTCCGTTGAATGGTTTTGACTGTGGCTCAGGGCCTGAACTAGGATGAGACTAGCAAGATGCTCCTTCTCTGCTAACAGAAAAGATCTGCTGCTAAAGAACAGTTGCCCTGGGAGTTAAAATGTAGAACTAGTGGTTTCCTTCAAGGAAAAGGGTGGTGGGAAACAAGGGCCGGCTGATATATTGGTGACAATTATGATGCATCCAGGTGTGGGCAGTCAGGTAGAAAATGAGACTGGATGAGATCATCAAACTAGAAAAGAGAAGAGGTTCAAGGACCAAACCTTGGGGCACTTCACCATTAAGAGGCCAGTGGAAGAAGCAGCAAAAGGGACTGAGAAGGGGCAGCCAGTTGTGAAGGATAAAACCCAACATAGTGTGTTGTACTGGAAGCCAAGTGAAGAAAATGAAGAAAAAGGACTGACCACTATGTGAAATGCTGCTGGCAGGTCAGAGAAGATGAGGATAAAGTTGGCCATTGACTTTAGCAGAATAGAGTTCCTTGGTTGCCTTGACAAGAGCAGTTGTGGTGGAAGAATGCTTGATTAGTGTGAGATGGAGGGCTTCTTGGAGAACTGGCTGAGTCCAGATCTGGGGTGGGAAATGTGCAAGATGAATCTGGAACATCATGTCATGCCACATAGGAAAAAATCCCATAAAAAACTACTAGAGTTATATTAAAATTAAAGAGGTGCCCACAGGCCAAAAATGATTTGAGCTTCTATTTGGATAATGTATGCAATAGATTGAAACACACCAAATATGCTTAGATCTGTGAGTTCTGTAAAAAAAAAAATTGGGGACACTTTCAGAGGATAAGAAACCAATTCATTATCTTAAAAACTGACAAAGGGGGAAAAAATCAAGCTTTTTTTTCTGCCTTATCTATATGAACTATGCCACTGGTAAGCCAAGTGGTAGATGAGGGAAGTGTCTCTTTATAAACATATTTTAGCTAACAAATGAAAAAGAAATGATGGAATATCACCCCTTTGCATCCATTAATCTAGGCATTAAGCATCAACAGCTGCTAACATCACACAAAGAGAAAAAGCTGTATGTTATGATCCTCCTCGCCAAATACAGTCTTGCCAAAGGGATCTATTCTGAGTGTAAGTGAGTCTCTGGATCTAGCTGCCAATTGCAGGAAATACAGGAAACAGAGGAACTTGTTAACCTGCGCAATGAGTATGCATTCCACACAATCTGGAGTGTGGGAACCTCTACACGTCAAATGGCTTGGTTTCTTCAGTAGATTATAAGGGAAAGAAGGGGATGGAGAGGGGCCCTGAAGATTAAAAGACACTTAAAAGACACATTTTGGGGACAGGGAATATATGTAACTATTTGGGGGAATTTTAATATAAAGGCAGACTGAGAAATATCTTAATAACTAGAGGGGAAAGTAGAATGAAGAGAGAGTTTTCTAAGAGAAATGGAGGCAAGTTTGGATATTGACGACCATGACACCAAAGAGAGGGAGAAATGGAAGTTGCAGGAGAGAAGTGAGAATTTTGGGGGTCATGGGCCGGAGTAGACTAAAGGCAGTGGGCTGTGGCGTACCAGATGTGGTGGGCCCTGCTAGGAGCACCTGCCACTCCATTCCCATCACAGCACAAGTGAATGCAGATGTGGTGGCTGAGTGGCAGTGTGGTGGGCTGTATATGGAGGTCCTCGTTAGATGGCTTCAGTTTTCTCAGGGAAATAGGAAGCAAGGTTATGAGAGAGTGGGAAGGTGGAAAGAGGTCCTGGAGGTTTCAGGTTTCATAATCATAAAATTCCTTTGCAGGCAAAGAGGAGAAAGGGCCTGCCCTCCCCCTCCTACAGGCTGATTCTGAGGCCTCTCCATGGGAGGCAGGGTGTCTCTCAAAGCTTGGGGCTCTGAGTGAAAGCAGCAGCTGTCTGCTTGGGCACTTAGAGCCAGAGTTAGCATGGGTCTTCTCCTCTGGTCTTGGCTGGAGATTTTTGGTTGCAGGTACAACTCTTTGGATTTTGCAATCACATTCTCTTGTCTCAATATGAAAAGTCAAAGAAATTACAAAGTACCTGTGTTACAGCTGGGTAAACTGATGGTTCCTGTTGACAGGCTCCTGCATACATTGCAGTGTGGTAGCTGGGTGTAAAGGACCCAGAAGAATATGTACCTGCAGACACACAGAGTGTTCATTCCACAGAGGAACCCATGTGAATTTTCTTTTTTTTTTTTT